TTTTCTATATTTTTATTAATAAAATTATTAAAAATATTAAAATTCTTAAAATTTTATTAATTAATTCTATCTTTATGTACTAAATAATCTGATTCTAGGCATAAATTTATATTAGAAATATATATTAATATTTTATATTTATTATTTTTAACAAAATATACCAAATTTAATCAAATTTTAATAAATTTTACTAAATTTTACTAAATTTTATTAAATTTTGCTAAATTTTTTATTATTTAACTTTATTACTAATTAAATAACTAAAGTCTAAGATTTAAAACACTTAGAACCTAATCCTGAAGCATCACCCAGACCTGAAAGCTAGAAAATTAGTAAATTTGAAATTAAAAACACTTAGAACCTAGATCTGAAGCATCATCTGGGCCTGAGAACTAGAAAACTATAAATTAATTATTACACTAATTGTTAAATAGTATTTGAGATCTAAAACACTTAGGACCTAGCCCCAGAGCATCGCCCGGGCCTGAGAGCTAAAAAACTATAAATTAATTATTACATTATTAATTAAAATTAATAATTACAAAACCTAAGATCTAAAACATTTAAGACCTAGCTCCATAGCATCACCCGAGCCTGAGAGCTAGAAATAAATAAAATCTAAGATTTAAAACACTTAAGACCTAGCCCCGGAGCATCGCCCGGGCCTAAGAGCTAGTATATTATATTCTAAACGTGTAATACATAAATCGTTAGAATCATATCTTTAAAGTGACGTTTTATTATTATTATTATTATTATTATTTTAGAACATAACGGAAGACCTAATTTCTATTCTTTTAATAAAAACGTAACTTTGAATTTACAATACAATATAATAGATAAAAAATTCAAAGTTGCGTTTTTGATATTTTTATTAAAAGTATATCAAAAACGACGATTTTGCATGGAAATTGGGTCCTCCGTTATGCTCTAAACAATAAAATTAATTTTTAAAAAAGACGTTGTTACTTTAAAGAGTACACTAAAATGAACCCAAAAAATATAATTTTATTTGTTTGAGTTTGCTGACTCAAGAGTTATTGCAGTTATTACACTCGTTGATCTATTAAAAAAATCTTGTTTAATGATCACTATATCACCTGCACTATGTTTGTCTCCTCCCCAACAGCAGATCGGCACTTATTGTGAACATCCCGAAAAATCCTCGTCAACTTTACCATTTTCTTTAGTAACCCCTCAACAACATTGTATAAATCTATCGTCCGAGATACTTAAAGTTCAAAACAAACACTTGCAATTTACTTGTATACCCGACTTTTTCGATATGAGATCCAAATACATATCTAAATTATATTATAGTACTAGATACATAGTTCGAAAAAGCTCTAGTCATTTCCTTGTTATTATTTGACTGTATGCAGATTTCCCACATTTTGATGATATTCATTTATTGTCGAGTTGTCCCTTTACTATTGGGATTTAACTCGTACCTTCTCTCGTTTAACTTGTTCACGACGACTAATGTATCATATCAGGCACACCAAAAGAAAACTATACATGTGTACCTTAAATTACCTATCATAATAAAAAAATTTATTACGTACAGAATTTAATCTGCCGAAATTAGATTCCGAAATTAGTCATCATATTTTCCGAAATTATTGCCGAAATTTTTTTAAATTCTTTTCGTCAAACTAAATCATATACTTCGGAGGCTTCCTATAAAAAAATGTATCAATGCTAAATGAAATGTTTATTTTTATTACCAATAACACCAATAACTTGTTTATCTGATATATTAAATTTAGATCCAAATAAATGAAATTATTTGTCCCACATAAATATTGTAAAATTCCTAAATAAATAATGAAGACGTATAAATATTCAATTGACTTTTGATGAGATTGTAAGGATTCAATTGAAAAGAGACGATAAATTGTTATTATGAACAAAGATAATAAAGAGACGGGTATAAAAGAAAACTACAAAGACTAACCTACTACTATATAATATAATAACAGATAATAATATTACACATTTTTTAAATAAAAAATGATTGTCGTTATAGTTGTATACGTACATATTTTTAGGTTTATAATTAATAAAAAAAAGTATAAGTGAATTCTAATAGGTTTATACATTAAAATAAAATAACCAATTCAAAAAAACTTTGGTTGCCAAGAAAATCGACAAAGTCTAAAAAAACGATCTTTCTAACCAATTAAAATAAAGCTACTATATATTTTGTATTGTAAAAATTTCCAAATATAGTATAACAAACAAACTTGAAACGCAAGTGTGAAGTGTAACATAGCGATAGATGTTCTTTGTTCACAAAAAAAAATTCATTCACGGTTTATGTGACCGATAAACCTTATAACCAGAAACTTCTTTCATATATATATGTTTGAATAATGTAAATACCACGTGCATACATGCGTACGAGTATGTGTGATTACAACACAAGAAACACCATCGGGCGAGCATCTATGTGTTCGCTGGGTGCATGTGTTCTTTTGTTTTGAAACCAAACAATCCAAATTTGAAAACCAGGCTTCTTTTAGACTTTGTTATGTAGTCTTTGTTGACTGGAGCTGAGGAAAACCTTCAAGTCATACACCTGTACTCAACTGCAATTTAGGAATGTCTGGTTCCGCTTCAGTTGACCCAAATTTTAGGTTCAATAGTCCCAAATTAGGTTCAAAACGTTTGGATACCGAAACCTTGGTTTAAAACGTAGCAACTGACTTCTGCATTTTTTTTTTTTTTTAGCATGACAGAATGATGAAATCATCGTGTTACCCGAATTTTCATGGTATATTTGCACTATCGAATTAATGAATCAACTACACTCTGCTATACACATAATGTCAGAAACCCAAGGTTGTAAGGCATACAATAAATTAATTTTGCAACTTTGTCACTATTACTGTAGCACAAGGTCTTAGTAGAACGTTAGTTGTGTATCAATTATCGAACCTGCTAACAATCAATATTTTTGTTTTAAACATATAGATCTTATCACAAAAGAAAATAATGGATCGACCTAGCAAGCATACGTATTAATTTCAAGCTTACAGTTTACAGTTTACTAGTGCTAATCAATATTATTATCCCAAAAGTTGTTATCGTAGGACAAGGAGGTATTAACGATACTGCAATATTGGTTGTTAGTTTAATCCGATTATACTAATGACCGACTACTATTTTAGAGATACTAATACTGGAGTACAAGGTTCTACGTAGCAAATAATAGTTGTCTTGCGTTGATAATCAGATTATATTGACGACCAATTACTATTTTCGATCAGTGTTAGTAGTTTATAATAAAAGTTTTGAATACAAACATTAAAGACAGTTTTACAAAAAATATTGTTGTTATAGGTTAATAAATATTGGGCACATAATTGAAGATTTTAAATCGACTAGTAACCGGCTTTTAATTGATCGACCTTTATTCATATCACTAGCCTTGCATTGATTTTCAATTTGATCAAGCTTACCATTATTGTTTTAGCTATTACCATCGAAGGTAAGGATTTAAAACTGAAATTAAGCGTCAAATATATAATGGATTAGATAATTCAGCAAAGAAGGCTTTTTAAAAAAGTTCTTTATAAAAAAAGGGAAGAACGGAAAAGAGGAGTATGTTTGTTCATATAATTTATACGTATCTATTCATGAGATTTTTTTTCACCTTAAAAATAGAAATTTTTTACAAACCTGCAACATTTAATGTTCTTAAAGAACGATATTTCGATTAAATATTTTGTTATGGCTTTGAATTCAATTGTTTTCTGAGTTCAGCTTTTTGGGCACAATTAGAGAAGGATCTAATAAAACAGTATATTATGTATATACTTTTCTTCCTTTAATACTTGGTATCATTTTACCAGTATTGTTAGGTAGGTTTCTCGTTACACCTACCATTGCCATATCATACAAGAGATTTTTTTTACATCTAAGTAACATATACAATCATATACAATAATAATAAGCAATAATTATTGTACGTAAGTATATATCTAGCTTCAATTTTCGTATAAATATATACGAGATATCAATATCTCACCCTCGAGTAAAAGTAATCACATGCCAAAGGGTGTGATTACAAATATATAGTCACAAAGGGTTCTACACAATCACGTATAGAAATCAAGTGTAGCTTAAAAAAAGCAACAAGGTCTTTTTAAAACGTAACCAGTTTCAGTAAAAAATATTCCGAATAATAAATAATAAATGATGTATAGTTACATACTAACTTGATGCCTAGCGCTAGACATAGGACTTTATTATTGCAAATTAAAAAAATATCTACAAAAATTTTTTTTATTATACATATGACGATGAACTGATGACGACGAATTGTATTGAATTGAAATTGAATATATTGTTAATATTGGTTTAAACATTAGGTTGTTTGAGCATTAGTTTAAATATGTATTAGTTTGAATTTTTTTTTTTTTTGGTTTTGTTTGAAATATTGAATATGCAAGTTAAAAATAAACTTTAAATAAACGTTCTAGAAAAATCCAGGTTTTGGTGGTAGAGGTTTATTGACATTAGCCAACTTTCCTTTTACATTTGACTTTGAAGGATTTTGTGGTGGTATAGCAGGAAATAAGAATACATCATCATCAAATCCATTTGCTTCACTATATCGAAAATAATAAAAGTCATCTGAATCCATCGCCCTTCCTTGTGATTTCCTTAGGTTGCTCCTACGTTGATTACGTTGATTTTCATGTGGTATAAGGTTATTATTACTATTATTATTATTATTATTATTGTTGTTACTATTGTTACTATTGTTACTATTGCTTCGAAATATAGATTGTAATATCGTGTGTGTTGATCTTTTACTTCCACGACTACTATAACTTCCGGATCGACTGGTAGGTTGGATGACTTGTAACCTGCTATTATTATTGACATTGCTAATATGGTTACTACTATATTTACTACTATATTTACTACTCTGTTTACTACTTGGTCGACTATTATCTGGATTCATTGTAGTAATATTATTAAAATAAGTTGTCAATGAAGGACCAAAATCTGAAATCATTATTGGTGTTGGTGGTGAAATGGGGATTCCAGAAAATGAATTAATTGAATTGGTTGGTGATATGTTTCGACTTCGATCATGTGAAATAGGTAATGTTGGAGGTTCTAACATGTCATTTATTATGAATGAATCATTATCATTAACTTTGACATTTAGAGGAGCTGTCATAGAATGATTATTGTTCTTTTTGTTAGTTTTTGCAAATATGAGGCGTTTAGCACATATTGATGTGAGAATTAGGGCTGGAGTTACGTTGACGAATCGTTCAAAGAAATCTTGGGATGCTAAAATGAATATTACATTTATCGTTTGAAATAATGCTATTAAACCTAAGTAAAATAATCCCTGTAAATATAATTAATAATTAATATAATTAATATAATTTATATATTGAATAAGAATATTCAATTCTATTAAAGTTTGAAACGTAAAATATTAACATACATCATCAAACAAAATTTGTTGCCATTGTTGTCTTATTTGCTTCATTTCGTTTAAAGAATCCCACATCATATAAATTCGGATCGCAATCAATCCAAATATTATCCAACAAAAAATTGCCATCATAACAAATCCTGCAGGAATGAACTGTTCCGGGTCTTGACCTCTTTGTAAATAACAATTCCCATCATTACCTTCCACAAAATTACCAAATCCAAAAATATTCGCTACATGTAAAATAGATGTTGTACCAGCGAGTAGAAATAGAATCACCAGTATAATGGGTGATTTGTAGAATGAGCGTAGACTTGAAAGTAGAATCAAACATTGAAAGATTATTCCGAGTGCATAGTAACTCAAAGAAAGGAGTGATAGAGAGCCACAAGTCATTGAAGTTTGTTGGACAAAGTAGAGAAATAACAAAATTACCAAACAGTACGCTAGTGTATTTATTCTTTATTGATTATATATCGTAACATTAAAGAAATCATTAGAGGGATATAAAGGTATAAAACTTCATATATAATAAAATGTCAAATTTAGGATACTTACTTATCAAGAATAAAACATACGAAATCTGATATTATCCATTGCTTTTTTGAATACCAAGCCCAAACATCGTTAACATGTATGATTGTATCATAAAAATATATAGAAATTGCACACGTCGTATATATTTCAAATCTTCTGAATTCCAGAGATTCGCTAGGAATTGGAATATATGCGTATGAAAAGCTACTTGCGTTATATAATGTACTCATATTTATAATTATTTTATTTATTGTCCTCATATAATTTTTTTAATATAAATACTCGAGAATTTTAAAGAATGTTGTAAAATATATATATATGTATGACGTTGAAATATATATATGACGTTTGAATCTATATGAGGTTTGAATATATATGACGTTTGAATATATATATGACGTGAAAATATGGGGAATCCAGCCCCCTGTTTTGTTAAAGTCGAAACCGACTAAATATTTTTTCAAATAAAACCTGATCTATTAGCCTATTTATTGAAAAATCTTGAATATAAATTTGATATCCATTCTTAGAATTTTTTGGCATTGTATGATTGTCGGACGGAATATCATTTGTCCTTGTTAAATCTAACAAAGGCTATATATATTTTAAAGTACTTTAAACAATCCACCTATTATTATCTATTATCCATTACAGGATTTCTTGTTAAAATCCTGTTCTAGAATATCACTTAAATTAAAACATACCTTTTTAAGTTCCTTCATGTAAGTGTAACTGTAATCTTTTCTTGTAATCCTTAACCGACATTGCCGAGTTAATGTTTCCTTTTCTATTTATTTATTTATTTACTGTTAAACAATCCTTGATTTCATAATCTGACTCATATCCTCCATAAATATCCATGTGCAAAATGGTACGGTTTCATTCGATTTGAAAATTCATGGGTAAATTCGGTTCGAACACAACCAAGGATACTAAAATACTATATCTGATATGCATGTGCGTACGTTACGTATGTGCGTATGCATGTTAAATGCATGTTAGGTATTACATATCCGTTGAATTTCGGTTGAATTTCTGTAAGAATGTCAAAATAGTCCAATCTTTTTTTAAAAAAAAGGTTCAAAGACAACGAATTATATCCCAAACTTATACGAATTAAAATATAATACATTTACTTATATATTTAATTCCTAGTCATTTGATGTATTACAACATTTTATTTTATTTGGTGTTCAAAACTATCTGCATTAGATAGGGGTAAATGAATAGTATTAATATATTTATTTATTATTTATCATATCATCTATTTTGTAAATATGATCATTTGCTTCGTAAACCCATTATATATTATCATTTTTGTTAAGTTCATTTATATTAATCCTTACAAATTAGAAACTGACCAACTAAAACTGGCTCACCATGGCATGGGAACTTGGTAAAAAAAAACATTCATTCGATTACAGTATTACGTACATATAATACGTATAACAGAAATTTCTTATACAGTTATAAAAAAAATTTTTTTTTTTGGTATATTCTAAAGACACACTAGTGTATGCATAACGCTAGTATGTGTAATTTGTAACACGAAATTAAAGAAAACAAAATTAACTCGATTAAGTTAGATTGAGATTTAAGGTTTGATTAGAATAAGTTGATTGTTTTTTTGTTAGAATCCCGAAACACATTTTATAAGCAAAAATTTTAAGTTATTATACGTATCTATGTTTTATACATACACTAGTGTACAAATATCAATTGTTAAAAAAAAAGCCTTGACTAGAGTTAATACTTCAATCCGGATATAAATATATCCGGATTGATATTTTGCTAAAAATTTATATTAAAACATAGTAATATTATCCGGATATAATCCGGATATAAAATATATCTGGATATAAAAACATAGTAAAGTATTAACTCTAGCCTTGACTATAATATTATGTTCCTAAAAAATGAATAGTATGAAGTAGTCCGGCAGTTTGTATAAGTCGAAAAAGAGCATATTACGAGAGACTCGGTAGTGACCTGTTTATAAAACCGGTCTAGGCGGTGCTCATTTCACCGACAATCACTTCACCGACAGTCAATTCACTGACGAGTTTATTTCACCGACAAAGTAATTCCGGTCACTTTAGTTAGGGTCAGGTTAGAATTAGAGTAAGGTTAGTGTAATTTTTTTTTAAAAAAACTTGTCGGTGATTGTCGGTGAAATGACACGGATCTGTTTTTAAATTTAACGCTAACCCTAACTTTATATATAAACGTAATACTGGGTATTGTACATTATGGGTAATGATAATAAATTTCAAAGTAAAATTATATCCTCAAGGAACAAAAAAAATTTTCTCATTCTTTACTGTGCAGGACATTGGACCTAACTGCCGCACTAATTTGACTCTTTTATCTACAAAATTTTGGCCGAAATTGACTTTTCACTTCAGAAATAGAAATTTTTATGGAGATAGGCACGCACTACGTATGTTGAAACATTCGATATGCGAAATTTCAATCAGAATATTATGATTATTAAAATAAATAGGATCCTCATTACCAAACAAATTAAATATAGTACGAATTCGCAAACTGGATAAAAATATATTGTATATTGATCATCATATAATGAAATTCGGTTTTGAAGTTTTCCAAATTAATTTTGTTCACATTTCAGCTCTTAAAGCTACTCGTTGTATTCGGTACAAGTTAATAGTGAAATTATGAACTGCAACCACAAGGAGGATGGGAAATGATTGGTTTCAAACTAATTCATCTACAAGACTATTTATTTGAAAATGTGTGTATTGCAAAAAGCAGGGTCACGAATAGGATCTCTTTTATTTTTTTCAAAATCCCACCTTTGCGTTGCCATTATTTGACAATAAGGTTTTGCTTAATATTCCAAAAAAAAAAAAATAGTTCAATTAAATATCAAGTAATGCAATGCTTAACTTGGTATCATTAAATGATATACTATAAAAATAACCAGTGGTAGGTTCTCAAACACTTTCCCTTGAATTTAAAATTTTAATACTAACATACACAAAGTCAAGCACTCTTGTCTTTAATACTGTTTTTTATAAATTAAACTATCCTTTTTTGTACAATTTTACGGCTTTATACATTAGCATTGGAATATTATATTTGTGCAGATTTTGCACTTATATTATAGTACTATTATGCTAATACCATATTAATAATAATAAATAATTATTAATATTAAAAATATTTAGATAAATCTAGTAAGTATTTACAAAAAAAGAGTAAAGTTGAAGTCTAGCCTTGACTCTCTTGCTTCTTCTACTATTCTGAAGTTCAGATTGCTATTAATTGTATATTGTTTAAGTTTTTCTGTACTTATATTTAGTATATTTTTGACTACTTTTATAATTTAGTTATGCTTGTTTTTAATCTTAATTAGATTACATTTTCTTTTACTTTTTTGTTATTAAGCTTATTACCAGTTCAATAAAATAATATACTAGTTGTTTTGTCAAATTATTGTTACTTTAACTATGTTTTAATGTACAAAAGTTGTATTAAACATAGCTTATAGAAGATTAATCTTATTTTTAATTAGTTTAAAAATTAATTTTTATATATTACTACATATAATTTTTTAAAAAAAAAGCAAAGTTGTATTCTATATTTTATTAATAATAATGAATAAAAAAGTTAAAAAAAAGAAAAAAAAATTATTTAGAAGAAGTAAAATAAAAGTCAAAAAATAAAATAGTCTGTTCTTTAGAAATTTGATTAAACAACAGAATATGAGAAGTTTTAATAAAAAAAAAAGCAAAAAGAATAACAAATTAAACAATAAAAACTTAAATATAAAAAAATGATAATAAGTCAAATTGTATATATAAATAATATAATAATAATACCAAAATTAAGTTATATGTTATAGTTAATAAAGATATAAAAAAAAGAAATAAATAATAAAACAAAAAAACAAACTGCTAAAAACATTAAAGAATTATATAATAGAACACAAGAATTTTAACAATTATAGAATGCTGTAACAAGAATTAACAATAAAACAAATAAATAGTTTATTATTAAAACTAAACAAACAAAATAAATTAGAACAGTTAACAAAACTAAAAATAATACAAAATTATCATAAAACAAAATTAACAAAAGATATATAAAAACTAACAACTATCAAAAACAAAGTATATTAAAAAAATAATTTAGTTTATTTAATAATAGTAAAAGTAATTTAGTTTATTTAATAATAGTAAAAATAAGAGAATTAAAAATAAGTATAAATATAAAAAATAAACTATATGACCAAATAAGATTAAGTCATCATCTCTTTATTGTAAATTCTTTGATCAAAAATTGATGAGAAGCAAAATATAAAAAAAATATAGAAACTTACTAGAAAATAACACTTAGGTTCTTAATAAAAAAGATAAAGTAGTAAAAGTTATATTTAACTAAAAACAAAGATATAAGTAAAAAAGCTTAGAAATAACATAACTTAAAAACAACTAAAAATTTTAATAAAAACAAAAATTTTGTAAAAATTTTAGGAAATTTCTATGACTCTGTTATAAAGATCAATTAGATTATACAAAACATAACAAAGTAAATAATATAAACAAACAAGTATAGTAAAATAGTTTATTAAAATAAATACATGATATAAACTAAACTAACTAATAAATAAAATAACAATAATTAATATAAAAGAAAATACTTATAAAGTAAGACCTAAAAGCTTATTAAAAAAGAAATTAGAAAAATTAATAACACAGAGCTTACAAAGTATTGAAAATGCTAAACTAGTCAAAATACTAGAAATAACAGACATCATAAAAACAAAAATAGACAAATATACAACATTACTTTTTGTAACAGATGTGATAGATATAGTAGCAATAAAAACACTAAGTGAAATTATTGTAAAAATCAATAGAAGAAGTAGGTTATAGAATTTCAGTTTTAATATAGAAAAGAATATATAATAGTAAAAAAAAAAAAAAGTAAAAAACATAAACAAGTTAGAAGAAATGACTAAAACAAAGAGTAATAGGAAAAAAAAGAAGTTTAAAGAAGAATTTAAAGTATATAAAACAGATAAAAAAAAGGTAATAATAAATAAAAAACTAAGATATATAATACAAGAACAAGACATAATAGAAGCAAAAAAAAATAAAAAAACTCTATAACAGAACTTAAGTTCAGAAAAAAGAAAAGAAAAATAAAGAAGAAAAGATAATAATACTGCAAAAAGACATAACAGAAATACCATTAGAGCAAAACATATAAGTACTAGATAACAAACTATACAATAATAAAACACTAGTAATTGTGAGAATTTCTACTTATAATATTTTAGATAGAACAAAAGAAAAAAGAACAGACATAGTAAAATAAATAATGCTTAATGCAAATAGACATATTTTAAAGATTAAAAAAATTTTGTAAAAGACAACAATTGAATTAAAATATTATTTAACTGTAGAAAAAAAAGAGAAAAAACAATTAATCAACTAAACAAAAAAGAAGAAGATTAGTTTAAAATAATTTCAGACAAAACACAAAATCAAATAAAGAGTATAGAAGAACAAAAAGATGTAGCAAACAAGTATAAAGCAAGAAGTAAATAACAAAATAAAAATAAAAAATCTGAAGACAAAGTAAAAAGAGCTTAAATAAAAAGAAATATATCAAAACAGAATAGAAAAACAAGATAAAAATGAAACAGAAACTAAGAAGCTGCAAATAAAAAAATTAAAAAAGATAAAAATAT